AGGAGGAAAAACCTCCAAGATCTATCAGCGAACACAAGCCAGGTTTGTCTGTGTCTAAACACATCTAAAGGTTCAATTCTGAAAACTCCAGAAGAGTCTATGAGAAACTTCAAAGCAGATGCCCCTCAGGCAAAGGTCGGAAAGGACAGAGAATGCGACTATTGTGTTTCTTTGAAACTCTTCCATACTGCTTGTTCTTACTATATGTATTGTTACTGTATCCATAAGAATAATAGCTAGATGCCATATTATCTGCACAGTCTGGAAGCATCCACTTGCTTTCTGTAGGAGTGGGAAAGTGAGCATCCTTTCCCAGGTTCCACAGGCAAACCAGAGTCTTACTAAGTGGGTGCCTTTCCACTCCACACCAGTCAGAGCCTTCAGATGTTGCCAAGGCCCTTGCCCTCACTCACTCACTCCTTCCTTTGTGTGGCCTAGATGCATGAGTAAAGAGAAAGTTTAATTTCTGTTCTTGCACTTTTAGATCGATGTCCTCCATTGCTGAAAAGCTAACTGGGAAGAGAAGGAATTCTCCCATTGCAAGAGATACCAAAGAATAACCAGCGTTTCCTTTGACGCTCAGTATTATGTAATTATATTGTTCCCAAGACAAAATCAAACAAAAACGTGTTTAACTTTAAAGTATGTACCAGCCCTTTTTCCAAATCCCATGAGAACTGGGAAGCTCAAGGTCCAAGGGGCTTTCTTTCCCGATTTAGAATCCTGTATTTGTCTCTCTCAAAATAATACACAACGATGTCAACTAAAATTGCTTCCGCATGAGAAATTGACAAGATGGAAGGGAAATCTAGATTCAAATTTTCTGATGTTGAAGATCTTAAAGGGTATTTGACTGTGTACTAGTCCCATCCAAGACATACTCCCAATCTCACAGAGAAGGAGGGGTGGCAAAAAGGAAATTGAGAGAACATCATGATTCTGTTTTTCCTATTATTTGACCCGAGACATGAGAAGAAAAAGCCACTTAGTAAGTATCAAGTGAACTTTCCAAATCATATAAAAACAATCCCCAGAGTGCTCTTCCTTTGTCTGAAGACCACGATACCTAGGCATTTACTGAAGTTTTTTTCCTTACTCATCCTTCATTCACGGATGGGTTTTTGTTCTTGCTTATTTTTCTTGTCATTGCTTTGGCTTTACTGATGGATATAGAAAGTATATCCAAATGTCTACTGGAAAAAACTCTAACATCTACTGAGCCGAAAAACTGCTCCCACTAAATCTGATTTTGTATAAGTGTCTGACACATACACACAAAGTGACTTCAGTTTTGGTTGGGGGCGGGGCATTCAAGTAATTAGTGAAATGCACAGACTAAAGCCTGGTGCATTGAGCTGTCTGTGGTCCTGAAAAAGGACACCAAGGCTGCAATGTACTGAGCTCCGTTCTTTCAAAGCCTCCTCATGTCCCTATTTTAATTCAGGCACTTCCGACCATGACTCACCTGAACTGTCTTATTTTGCCAGAGTGTGTATAAACATTTTATAAAAGGTCATACCGACTTGCTTTCCAAGGTTCTCCATGGAAATGTCAGGGCCTCCCCAAGCTTCATTAAGCCATTCCAGGGGACAGAGAGACAGGACGTTGGCTAAGACACTTAACACATCCTATCATGTACCAGAAAGCCACACTTAGCTAGCTCTCGCTACCCAATCACCATGCTGGTAAGCTAAACAGAAAAAGAAAAAAAAAAAAAAACACGTCATTTTAGATGACATGCTACCTCCAAAGGGAGGCTCTGGTTGGCAACACTTAGTTCTTCCACTCACAGCTACTCAGGATATTTGGAATTGTTAATAGTAAACTGAGAAGTGACTTTCGCTTAAAACTTAGGAAAGAAATACACCTACATCAGTGACATCAATAAGTTGAAAAGGTGGGGAGGCACAATGTTTCATTTTCCACACACAGATACACAAGCCTGTGCACTTGGGATTCAAGGTCAACTCTTTTGCCAACACGGCTGACTCTAATATCTGCATAAATTAATACATATTTTTCTGGTGCCTGACTTCTAGTTCAGGGTCCTCAAATTTATCTGGCCCTCTTCCACTTTTGACTTTTGTAAAAGCATCTCAGATAAGTGTTTGGAGCTTCAGCTTGGGAAAGAAATCCCCCTAGAGAAAACACGGAGAGAAAACGCTACAACCAAAACAACTGAATGATACTACCCAAGCATCAGTTTTGAAACTTAAGTGCAGCTGGTTCAACAGAAATTATGTATCATGTAAAATAAACTCAGTTTTGCAAATCTAACATTCTGGGATATTTATGTCACCCCAAGGGTAGAGACATTCACAGGGCTTGTAAGTTTTAGGGGAGCAGCACATATCCTCACTTCTGTCACCCATGCTATGTATCTTTCCATCCAAATACCTATGCATTTGTGCAACAGAAATAGTCCTCAAAATGAGCCAGCAAGTGCAATTCTAAGCGTGAAAAATCTGTAAAAAATAGGAGTTCTTGTATTTTTATTAGTTTCTAGAAGTTTCAAGAGTTCTAACATGGTATCAAAAAAGTTTTAATAATACCTAAGGGCGCTTGGGTGGCTCAGTGGGTTAAGCCTCTGCCTTCGGCTCAGGTCATGATCCCAGGGTCTGGGGATCGAGTCCCCCATGGGGCTCTCTGCTCGGTGGGAAGCCTGCTTCCCCCTCTCTCTGTCTGCCTGCCTCTCTGCCTATTTGTGATCTCTGTCTGTCAAATAAATAAATAAATAAAATCTTAAAAAAAATAATACCTAACATTTGGCTACTCCTTGCAAACTCTTGTAAGTTATTTCAAAGGACCTTCCAATAATTCTTAAGAAGTCAGTGTCTTCAGGAAGACGCTTTGCCCTCGGTAGGACTATCACCCAATGTCTCCCCAGCAAAAAAAAAAAAAGTGTCTCCCATTTTTCAGAAGGAATAGACAGGTACAAAAACTAATGCTCAAGGAAAACACCAGCAAGTTCTCTTTCCAACTAAATGAAGGAAAACCACTCCAGTTGCCAAGCAAAACAAAACAAAACAAGTTGTTTGAAGTTACTTGGTTTTTTAAAAATACCTGAGAAGATTTTACAATGACCTTTTAAATTCAACCTATTTGTAAACCAAATTTGTGCAGAGAAATCACGGACCCCAAAAATGTCCATATTTCTGGGCCTCGAGCAAGTAACTGAGCACAGCAGGAAGCTATCTGGACTAGAAGCTGGAGGAGAGGGCCTGGGCCCACTCTGCCCTGTCTAGCTGTGCCATGTGGCAAGCTACTCCCCTATTCTGACTTCGGGCTCCCCGTCTGTAAACAGAGTCAGAAGACTATTCATTCTGTTTTGGTCCTCCCAGCTCTAAGTGTCTGCTTTTGGAAGTCAAAATGAGAAGATGCATTCATTATGGGTAAGCCACGTTGCAGTATCACTTAAGAATGTTTCAGAGAGGGGTGCCTGGGTGGCTCAGTGGGTTGAAGCCTCTGCCTTCGGCTCGGGTCATGATCCCAGGGTTCTGGGGTCGAGCCCCACATCGGGCTCTCTGCTCCGTGGAGAGCCTGCTTCCTCCTCTATCTCTGCCTGCCTCTCTGCCTACTTGTGATCTCTGTCTCTGTCAAATCAATAAATAAATAAACAAAAGAATGTTTCAGAGAATCTCAGAAGCCCAGGATCACAAAACCCCGAATTACAACGGACCTCCCTGTAAACTATTAAGATTTTAGAATTCTAGGGTGCATTCTCCTGGTTTCGCCAGGGCAGTTGGGTGACTTACCTTTAAATGGTCTCACTCTTTCTAATTCTCATTCGCTCACTTTCTCCCTTTGGAATGACACTGTTCAAAGTCTTTGCAAATGTGAAAGGAAGACAAAGTCTTACTTCATTCTCCCTGCTCCTTTGGGGTCATGGGCATCTTTGTTTTGCTTGCACCATAGTTAAAATTTGTTTCTTCCATATTTGGTGTGAGCTTGCTAATGACTGACCTCACATTGACTTAACATAATTAATATTAAATTATTTAAGTGGTAAGTTCTATACGATGTTTTAAATTTAAAGCCGTCCTAAATGGCACCTTTAAATGGAAAGCACCCTAAATTGAAGGGCTTAAAAGTTCCAACAAATAGTCAACAATTGTCCCCCCCCCCAAAAAAAATCAGAAAATACATATTAGTGTAAATTCTAAACTGGCAAATCCCAACCTTACTTCATTTTCGAAAAGCCTAGTTCTTTTAATTCACAACCCTTAATATTCCTTGGACCGAAGGCTACAGCAAACTAAACAACTCCAAAGATGACCCATGAATTTTATACAAGTATTCTGAAATTGTCAGTAATAGCCAAATTCAACAATAGAGTTCCTGGCTGCATTTAAACAAAACATTTCCTAATGAGACTGCTCACCAGGGCAGTGGCCTTTGCTCTTAAATGACATTTTTTTTAAAAAAGGGCAATGTAATGATTGCAGCTAAAAAAAATCTACCAAACCACTACATACACAGAATTTGTATTCTAACCTTAGGGCGGACTTTTTTTTTTTTCTTTAATGGCTGAAGGTAAAGAGTTTGGATTTTTCTCATGTCTCATTTACATATATTAGCTAGGAATATCACAAGCCTATTTTCTTCTTTCGCTACATTACAGAAGAAGATACATAGAGAGGGACACTATCTTCCATAATGACGCACCCAGGGGGATAGGCCTATCAAGCAAGAATTCCCGCTTACCCCACAGCTGAAGCCTAGTACCTAACTGGCCTTAAGGAAATTTGGAGAACTAGATCGACCTGACGAAGAGAGGGGAACATCTTAAGGGCTTAACAAGTACAACCCAGCCTATTTACGTGCTGGGCTGTTTTGTTTTGAACTTCTTGAAAGAACAGGTCAGGTGCTGTGGCAAGACTACAGCGTGTGTCTTCTGTAACCTCAAGCAAGGACACGAGGGTTTGGAAAAAGCTGCCTTGCTCTTCTCCAGGCGGGTGGCTGCGCTTTGGGTCATTCATAAATAGTGGAGTCTAAGTTACCTGTATTTCCCTGGCGTGGTACACAATGATCAGCCCAAGCAAGATGATTGTGGAGAGACTGATAAGGCATTTCAGAGCTAAGGAATACAGCGACGCCTGCAACAGAGTCAGACAAGCACTTTTAAGAAACTAGCACTCTGAACCACCTTCCAGGACCCCCCACCACCCCCAGCCCGTGAATATGAACTCCCAGGAGGAAGAGGATGGGGATGAGGGGAACACCTGTCTTGGCTGTGGGATCCGTCAGATCACTTGGCCTGTAAGGGAAGTGAGGAGAGGAGGGCAGGTGGATGGCTAGGGAGAGGGTCCGAGCCATGACATATGCCAGCGCAGATCCTGGCTCTGGAAACCCAGAGGGAGTTATCCCTGAGTTTAAGCGCTCTGTGTTGAAAGGGGCCTCCTAAATCGCGAGCACCTGGAAAGCAACAGGGCTTGCTTTCCCCTACTGACTCCTGGAAACATTCATTTAAGGTGCCCGAAGTCGCTGGGGCACTCACTGCCTCCAGAACTTTGGCTGCGCGCAGAAAGGCTCTCTCTGTAGAGTTGCCTCGAGGATCAGGGCAGAGCGTCCGAGCCGTGCTCGCCGTCCTGGCGGGCACCTGCCTCCGTCCCGAGGAGGCTCGGGGCTGGCGGGCAGGGATTTCCCACCAGGGCCCATCCCAACCACCCGGCGTCCGGCCCCCGCTGCCCCGGAAGGCTGGGCAAGCGGCTGCAGCGCCTACCTTGTCGTAGGCGCCCCACGACAGCTCGGTCTCGATGACCATGACCACGATGCCGAACATGCCGAAGATGAGCGCGTAGTCGCTGAGCCGCTTGCGCTTCTCGAACAGGGCGCGCCGGTGGCCCAGCTTGTAGCCGATGTTCTGGTTCTTCTTTTTGCTGGACTTGGTGCCACTGCTGCTGCCATGCCCGCTGCCGCCGCCGCCGCCGCCGCCTCCAGCGCTGCCGCTGCCGCCTGCTCCGTAGAGCGCCAGGTTATTGGAGTTGTTGTGCTCCGGCTTAGACACCACGATCTCCGGGGCTGAGGACGAAGCGGCGGCCGCGGCGGCGGCTGCAGACGGGGAGGACGCGCCGCCACCTCCTCCGACCGACGCGGGGGGCTGTAAGGGCTGCGCCTCCGAGTCCATCTCGTGCAGGTTCCGGCGGGACGCGCTCAAGTTGCTGAGCGGCCGCATGACGCCCCCGTTGTACCTGCAGCTGCTCATGGCTATTTCGGTGAAGGGGTTGCTCTCGCGGCGCGCCTGGGGCTGGTGGTGCTGGTGGTGCGCCGGGTGCGGGTGGTGGTGGTGGTGCGAGAGCGGGGGCCCGGAGCCCAGGCTGCCGAGGCTGCCCGTGGGGCTGGCGGCGGGCTGCAGGCTGTGGCACTGGTGGTACTGGGAGGCGGACGCCGGCTGCTGCGTGTACTGCTGCCGGAGCGCACTGGCATGGCTGGACGGCGTCAGCTCGCTCACATTGAGCTGGCTGCCCCGGCGCGACGAGCAGCAGCAGCAGCACGACGAGCCCGACAGCGGCGAGGAGGTGCGGGTCCGGAAGGCGCCGCCGGGCGAGGAGGTGCGGAGCAGCAGGGACAGGTTATCCCCCGCCCCCGCCCCCGCCGCCGGGGCTCCGGAGGGGGCGCAGCTGTTGCACGGGAGGCATGGGCTGCTGCCGCCGCTGCCCGGCGGCTGGTGCGCGAGGTGCGGGTGGTGCTGAGGGTGCGGGAGGGACGCGAAGGGCGGGCACGGCTTGTCCTGGCTCTGTTGCTGCTGCTGGCAATGCAGGTGTGAGGAGCGCGGCGGCGGCGGCGGCTGCTCCGAGAAGAAGCCGCGCTGGAACTGCAATGGGGTTTCCATGTCAGGGCTGTTAAAGCTGCAGGGAGACCAGGCGGTGGTGCACCCTGCGCAATGCGTTATGGTCGGGAGCGGGGACTCCTGCTGCTGGTGCGAGGAAGGGCCCATGCCGGCTCCGGTAGAATCCAGGCGGCGAGTCCGATTGGTTGGGCGCACCAAAACAATGGGCATGACATCACCTGCGGGGACCGAGACCGAGTTTGCGGCGCGCGCGGCTTAGGGGAGCGTGTGTGAGAGAGAGGGATGGGGAGGAGGGAATCTGCAGGATGAGAACCCTGGGGGTGCGCAGGCCAGGGCGGGGTGAGGGCTGGGGGCCCCACCTGCTGATGGGGAGCGCCGGGGAGCACCACTGGGGATGGGGAGCCCCCAAATTGTGCAGCCGGGCTGCGGGGGGGCGGCGAGAAAAAAGGGGCGTCCCTTCCTCCTTCACCCCCCTCGCCGCCGCCCCCCTAGCTCGTGCCGGACGCGCAGTCTAGATCACCTGCGCCGGGCACTGCAGCACGTTGGGCCACCCCAGCCGTGGGTCAGGCGCGGGGACAGTGCGGAACCCCTGCCACTTGTCCGCCCGCGTGCACGCCTCGTAGGGCTGCAGAACAGCGGCCCCCTAGCTGCACGCCCACCTCTCCCTGATCGTCCCGCGGAGAGTGGGCCGCCGGCTGCCCGCCAAAGAACTGCGGGGGCACCGGCTTTGGAAAGAAAAGTTTGGCGGCTGGCTTCGCCAGTGCAGCAGGGCTTGGGGAGAACCCTGCGGCCTGAGCCCGGGTTTGGTCGACGCGAGTTCAGAGCCAGCCCGGCGCCCCGATCTTCCCCAGTCGCTGGGCTCCGGCGCCTGGGAGTCAGGATTGGCTGCGCCGCGCTCCGGCCCGAGTGCGCCGCGGCGCGGAGAGGGTTAACCGCCTCGGCTCCCGGGCTGGGGGAGGATGGGGGCGGGGCCGGAGGTGGGGATCCCCACCGTCCGCGGGAGGAGCCCGCGCGGGCTTCCCGGGTCCCCCCGGCGGGGGCGGAGGGCTTTCCCAGCTACCGCCCGCTCACATTTGCGCCTACTGCGGAACATGAGGGGCTGGCGCCCCCGGCCGCCGGGTCCCCGGGCTCGGGCGCTCAGGCCCTCTGGCCGCCCTAGTGGGTAGGTCCGCGAGCTTCTCCGGCGGTGGAGAGGCGGCTTGCTCGAGGGTCTGGGGGCTGCTCAGCGACCGCCGGCCGCCAGCGCCTCCTCTGTTCCTCTTCCTCCTCCCCACCTGCAAAGCACAGACACAAAGCAAATGCGGGTCACAGATGCGCTAACCCCGAGCATCTCCTCGGCCGAGCCCCGACTGCGGCGGGGGGTGGGAGAGGGGCCTTGCGCGGCCGAGTCGCACCGTTCGTTACAGAAATTATTAACAATGAAAACCCCGGCTGAGTGTCCACTCCCGGGCGGGTGCTGGAGTTTTGCTAGAGTCAGGTATAATTATTTTCTTTCTAATAAACCAATAAAAATGGCAGTTTGTGGCTCACGAATTTCCCGCAATGTGCTCTTCTCTTAGGGGATATACCAACACAAAGCGGTAGGGGACCCTTTTCCGAGGATTGTTACTGCTCTATCTTGAGTGCTTCTCCTTTGTATTTCTTTGTACATGGAAATTCCAGACTCCCCGAAAAGAACAGGAAAGGAACTAGCAAACTAAATATTTGTTTCCATTGTAAATCGTAATTTAAATGCATGATTTTTATAATCGGGATTATAGCGAATTAGACCAAGAAATTAGAGCGTAAACAGATCACCCTCATTAGGTAATTGGAATTCTCAGCTGGATCCAATTTCTTGATATTCTACTCGGCAGCTGCCCTAAAGTTGCTCACCAGTTATCTTGTCCTAGGACTGTGTGTGCACGCGTTTTCAATGCCATGGAATGAATAATTCATTTTAGGATATCTTTTGGACATGGGTTAAACAATTTTAATTTTTTGTACGTGCAAGTAAAGAGATCCAAAAGGGGAAGGGGGTGGGGGGGAAGGACAGGTTGCTATTTGGCCCACAACTCTCCACATAAGATAAAGAGTACTGTCAGAAATTTTATTTTTCAGTAGTCTCGGTCAGGAGTAGAATTTGAGTAGCTACAAAGTGGAGCCTGTACTTTATGTTTATACTCTGTCCTGATTTTTGGCAATTCAACAAAAATTGCTTAGTTACGAAGCTCATGGTAGGCTGAGTAGCTAATGCAAGAATTGTGTGGTGCACGTGGCCATTAAAAACGATTCTAATGAGCTGACTTTGAAATTAACAAAGAAAGCTTCCAAATTAAGTTAGTCACCTCTGGTGTGAAAATTCAACGCAAGCACAAAATCAATCATACATTTTTTTTTCACTTCATAGCACATTCTATAGGCTTCTGCTAGTCGCTCTATGCAGCTGCATTGAATGAAAAGTTTGATTCCTCCTTACGAATGAAATTCTTCAAGAGAGTGTAATCACAGGATATCAATACTTTCATAAATTTAGCTGAAAGATGACATAGATGCCTCCCCAAATATCACGATTGTTGCCAGCATCCAATTAGATAGAAGGTTCTAGAATGATTCAAACACTGTAAGTAATGGCTACATTCTATGTATCAAACTGACTTTCTCAAACAGCAAGTTTAAGGCTTCAAACAGAGGGTTGTGTAAACTAATTAAAAGGGACAAAAGGTTGTATCATTTGGCCTGTATATCTCTGTGCCTTGGTACGGGATTAGGTGCAGTGCCATTAATCATATAGAAAAAAAGGGTGTTTACTAAGATTTATGACCATGATGTATGGAGTTTCCATTGGTCACAAAAGGGACTCAGGGGAGGATGGGATGGACAGAGTAAGAAAGAAATGAAGATAGGACGAGCATGAGGAATTGTCAGAATACCTAAAATCAGTTCATAGTGCTTCCTCCCCGCCAATATTAAAACAATAACAACAACAAAGTCTCATGAAATAATAATGTGAAACTTACTGTGACTGGAGAGAAAGAAGTCAATCAGATGTATATCATCGTTCTGTTTTAAGGAATCATCTGATCACACCCTCCATCACCCCAAAATCACCTTGCTAATAAATGTCTGTTTGGAGAGTGTGATAATCCTCTATCAGTATGATTATGAAAAACCGCAAGATACCCCCCAACAATGTCATGTTTCAATTTTCATCTGTGTCGTTTGGGGCATCTCACACTATTGGGTTACGACAGGGGCACTTTTAAGGAGTTATTGTTTTCACCATTCCTCTCTTCTTTATAAAATTAACAAATGAGGGGTGCCTGGGTGGCTCAGTGGGTTGAGCTGCTGCCTTTGGCTCAGGTCATGATCTCAGGGTCCTGAGATAGAGTCCCACATCGGGCTCTCTGCTCAGCAGGGAGCCTGCTTCCCTTTCTCTCTCTCCCTCTGCCTGCCTCTGTCTACTTGTGATCTCTCTGTCAAATAAATAAATCTTTAAAAAAATTAACAAATGAATTGTAAACTTATATATAAACATTTAAAATTCAGATACCGTAATTTTGCCCCTTTTTTCTATAAAGGATTATAGAGATACATGTGACCAAGCAGTCGGAGCAACAAAGACAGTGTTCTTCCACAGGGGTGGTGCTGTGTGCACAGGACATAGTCATTTATACCTGGAAGACCAAGGAGGGAAAGAGAGAAGGAGGGAAGGAAGAAAGTTTTGAAACAAAAGTCACAAACAATGCCCTGTAACCTCTGACTAGAAGCTTTTGGAAAACGAAATTTGCTTCTCTTTCTACCGTTAAGATATATAGCGCTGGAATTTCTCTAGTTTAACACCAGAGGTCATACTCATCCAACAAATGCATTTCGAATCTCATCAATTAGTCACCTCCCATTTCCAGCATGATTTTTGAAAAATCACCTGGGTGTTTTTTTCTCTAGACTAGAACACCCGGGTCCCCATATTTGTGGTATTTCAAGCTTGCACACATACAAAGAACACCCCCCCCCCACCGCATACACTTAACATTGGTCTTAGAAGATCCATTTTCCCAGACCACATAGGGTCTTGGAAAAAGCTGCAGGTTATTTGCTCTCTGATCCCTTACTTAACTCAGATTTACATGACGCCATTGTTTATAATTCTCTTTTTCCTAGGAATTATTTGCGCTCTCTCTTTTTTAAAGATTTTATTTATTTATTTGACAGATAACACGTAGGCAGAGCAGCAGACGGGGGCGGGGGTCGGAAGCAGGTTCCCTGCTGAGCAGAGAGGCCAATGCAGGGCTTGATCCCAGGACCCTGAAATCATGACCAGAGCCAAAGGCAGAGGCTTAACCCACTGAGCCACCCAGGCGCCCCACATGCTCTCTCTCTCTCTTCATTGTTCCTTCAAAAGCGGGACTCCCCTGAATTTGGATGTTTCTGGTCTATTTCCAGGGGTAGGCAGAGCAACTGAGGCAGGGACCCAAGGCATCTGTAACCCACACTGAGAAGTCCGGAGAGAACTTTGAGCTACAAAGTCAATGTTTTTCTGAGACTTTCTTTTTTTCTTTGCCCAAGTGAGAAAATTGTTGGGGGTTGCCAAACAGAGAGGTTGTGATAAGACACAGCCTCTCTGAACTTAGTTTACAAGGCGGTAAATACAAATGTGCAATTGGGGTCATACCAAGAGTTATTCTCCTAGCACAATAACAGGTCCACATTTCCCAAAACAGAACCATTAAAAGGCCATAAGAACAGTTCTTTTTAAACCACAGACTGTCCTAAATTTGTAAGAGATAAACCACATTGGATCTGAAGAAAAGATTAGAATAATTTTTATATGTATTCCTTTTACTTCTACATCATGATCAGAAAGTGTCAAGACCTAAATGAGCTTATTGGCGATGGCCTTGTTAATTTTTCTCCAGAATGCTATTATTCAGGGACTAATTATCATGTTGGAGCCTATTCATTGACTTTCCAAATTTTTTTCTACTCTCTTCTTCATCTCCAGCTAATTGGCATATCTGTCAAAGTCTCAGCAACTCCAGCAAAAAAAGAAAGAAAAAAAATGAAGCACGTATACTAGTTTCGCTAGAATTGAACCATGTTACATAATTAAACATGAACACCAGGTTAAAATTACTGACTAGGGGGAGTCTTTTGAAAAGAATCTGCAATTTCATAAACCAATATCTTTGGCAGTTAGAACCACACATCCAAATCTAGAAAGTCATTTAAAAAAAAAAAAAACTAAAGGCAGCCCATTCTAGTTCAGAAAGTTTCTGCGTTATTTTATTTGCATTTGCTAAGGATCCTTATGGGAGATAGGAAAGTTTTCCTTATCCTCTCCATCTTACAGGTAAAGAGCTTAATGCAATCCAGGCAATCCAGTGCCCGGGCTACCCCAGGTCACACAGCTAGCAAGCAGCAAAGGGCAAGCCAGACTTCAAACACAGCCTTCTGAGACCACCTGCTGAATCTGTTTTGCAGACTTCTAGCATTTCTTCCACAGCCACAGAATAACCCAATCAATCTATCGGCTCATACAGCCTGTCCTCCACTAGCAGTCCGGGAATGGACCGCAGGAGCTTGTCATTACCATTCACTTCCTTTCAATGGCCTCGGGGACATTTCCTCGCTGGCATAGTTGGGATTCTGTGATTCCTGACTGCTGGCCTCTTGTCGACTTCATTTGATCAACAGAATAATTTATAAGGATCCAGTACAAGTGTGGATACAATGGCAGGGCTGTAGGCACGCAGGTCCGAGGTGCCTAATTAAAAAGTATAAAAAGTAGGGCGATTCTGGGCTGCTCACAGAGTTTTCTGCCTACTTTGCAGTCTGGTCTGGCATTCCTTATTGTTGGCATCATCCATCAAAGAAGCTGCAGGCCAGTGAAACGTATATATTGGCACTAACAGGCCCATTTTGTCTTTTTGTGAGATAAGGGGGATTCCCATGCTCAAGCTGCCTGCCCTGTGGCTTGGAGGAATTTGTCAGCAGTCCTGCAGGGACCCAGCCACCTGTGTTCTCGCCGCTTCTCCCATTATGCCAAAGAGTGGGGAGAACTGTGTCACTAGACGAACCCCAAAGAGCCCCATAGGGAATTTTTCTTAAAAGCTGTTTTTTTGTTCGTTTGTTTGTTTTTCCTAGTATCTCCTGTACGGGTGTTCCTGTCTGGATGAGCTTGACACCAGACCACATGGGACCACCAGAAACATGATCAAACCAGAGGGGTCCAATATGGTGGGCACAATGGGCCAAATTCACATTTTGCCTTCACTATACTACAGTGACAAAC